AAACTAAGCAATGAATCAAACACAAGCATCTGGCAGGATTCCTAGAAGATCATTAAGCTTGGACTTCAGAAAATGGTCAATGTTTCCTAAAATTTTCGAAGATATCTCTGAGTATTTCATTAGTAAAAACCAAAATCCTAAGAAACAACAAGGAGAAAAAACTATATTGAATTCTTTGAAATGACAAAGGTGAAAAAATTATCCTTTTCACAACTGATAGATTCAGATTTGCTTTCTTGGCATTGTAAACATATGGCTTTCAGTGCTCTTTAGATAAAGAAATATTTTAAGGAAATGTCCCTGAAACTAAACTGGGATAAGTGGGATAGGTATAACTATAGTATTCCAATGGTATTCTGTAAGTTGGACGGTGTACCTCTTTGTCAACATTATCTGATTTTTCAGAAGGCAAGATAGTTGAATGAAAAATGTACTAAGTAGGATACAAATAATATGAATTGTTTTCCAGTGCCACCACTAATTTTTCATGAGCCCTTGGCTAAGAGTGACATCTCCAAACCTGTTCCCTCATTTATATTAAGGAAACTCTAAAATCCCTTACCATTCTAAAAATTCTATGAGTACATGAGAATCCCACGGATATAGTTAATGTGTAGATATGTTCCAGGGACTCTCTTTACAAATGACATGATTACTGTTTTCACAATAAACTGCAAACATTCTAACACAGAACACAGTCTAAAAAACTGTTTTCAGGTGATTCAAATGTCCAGTCAAGTTTGGGAACCAGTGAGTTAAAGCAGTGATTCCCTCAGTGTGGTCTCTGACCAGCTACAGCAGTATCAAATGGGACCTTATAAAAATGTTGTTCAAAACATATTATTTTCTGAGAAACTTCAAGTACTTTATTTATTCTGAGACAAATTCTCCCACTAAATAAAACAGAAAAATAATGAAATGAACACCACATTAATAACCTAAATTGCTATTTCCTTTTAGGATCTCACTTTCAGAGGTGAAAACAGAAAAAAAGAACTTCAGCTTGAAGCATTCATTAATGCCCAGAGTAAAATAATAGCAAATTCTTATTAAGCATTTATCATGAGCCCGGCACTGTTTTAAGAGCTTTACATTTGTTAACTCAATTACTCCTCACAACAGCCCTGCTGAGGTGGGTTCTTTTACCCCAATTTCACCAATGAGAAAACAGAAGCAAAAAGTGATTATATAACTTGTCCAAGTTCAAACAACTAGAAAGTAATGAGGTCAGGATTCAGGGCTAGGCAGTCTGGTTGCAGAGTACATTGTCTTTAACCAAGAGTCTATGCAGAAAGTTGGGGAATTTAGCCTCATGCTTCATTTTCTTCCTGTGAGACTGGACCACATACCAGAAATAAAAATTTCAACTTTGTTTCTCACAAGAATAGTAGTGAACCAAACTAAAGAATTACTCTTGCATGCTGAGAAATATAATCCAAATATAATAAATACAAAATAAAAACACATATCCATTTCCTGTGATGGGTTTTACTCACAACAGTTTCAAGGGCGACCTTAATAGTTAAACCATCCACTATGGAACAAAAAGGGGCCTGAAAATGAACTTAAATGAATGCCAGGTGACCCTCATCAAAACCTTTCTAAGTGAGCCAGGTTATGTAAACCAAGCACAATTGAGCTAACTTCTTTATGATTATGTCTGCTCTGGGCCCCATGCCTATGAGAGGAGAATCATTAAGTCACTGTGGGGCACTGCAATATTGATCATTCCTAATTGGCCATTCACTGCAAGCAGTGCTACCATATCTGTCACTCTGAATTGCAACATCACAGACTCTCTTAGGTTTTCAGTTAAGTTATCCAGAACACATCATTTGGTTACTGAGAGTCTGAATTTGCGGCCAGGCGTGGTGGCTCACGCCTGTAATCCTAGCACTTTGGGAGGCTGAGGTGGGTGAATCACCTGAGTTCAGGAGTTCAAGAGAGTCTGAATTTGCTCCTAAATGCCTCCCTTTTTCCCATCAAGAGATGTGCCTCTAACTTTCCTTTTTCATCCCCACAGCTACTCCTCATTCCACTGTGAGTCAAATAGAAACCCTACTTATAATAAATTGTAATTACATTTGGTTAACTAACATTAAATTATAATTCTAATCAATTTAATAACACTAAATTATATTTTTTTAAGTATCCTAATGAAGATCTGATTTCCTGGATGGAGGACTTTCTTGCTTTATGTCTAGTCTTATAGAAGTCGTGTAAGATTGGTAATAGGCAGGTTATAACCTCTTGCATTTAAAGATGCCAGATGAGTCATAAAATGCATTCTCAGTAATACACTATTAGACTTGTCACTAAAATAAAAGAGAATGGAAATTAATTTCAAAGTACAGAATCATTTCGAATCTTTTTTGACATTAATACCATAAATATTTTTCACCAGATCTACTTGGCCCTAAGAGGATAATGGAGATCAATTCCAATCAAATAATGTGAAAGGAATTGTGTATGTGTGTGTATGTGTGTGTGTGTGTGTGTGTGAGAGAGAGAGAGAGAGAGAGAGAGAGACAGAGAGAGAGAGAGACAGAGAGACTTGAAGCACTTTGACATTATTGCAGCTAAGGAAGAAAAGGACTCATTACCTCACCTACCCTTTTTGCCAGTTTAGGCTTGTCCTTGCTCTGTGTCCTCATTTTGCTTTCTCTTATATTTTCTTGAACAAACCATGATGTAACTGGATAGGGTTTCCTTTATTCTGTCTGTCAAGAACCTAAGAAACACCAGATAGTACTTCTAAACTAGCTCTCCTGGAGACTACACCATACCACTTTTAGATGCTCTCTCACCATTTGGATTTTCTATTATAAAGAAAAGTATTCTGAAGAGCCAGATTTTAAGGCTACTTAAATATGGATGTTATTACATTATAAAAGCTATCAGAAGGTGAAATCCTTCACCCACGTGACTAAAGAAAAACTAGACTGATGATTTGAAGCTAATCTAAAGCTTTTTCCAGAAAGTTCTATATAAAGTATGTAATAAAATTATAGATGATTTGAGGATGCCCATATAGTCAGCTTCTAAGGGTGCAGTTGGTATGTAAATACAAAATCTAATCATGTATCAACACAGATCTTATTTTAAGGTGTTTGAGGATTAGGTCATTTTACAGTATACATGGGTTTGTATTTTGAGCTAACAAATATTTAACTTACTATGCTAGGCATTTTAGAAGCACTATTTCATTTAACTCTGACAATAATGTGAATTATGAGGTAAGTGTTGTACTAGTACAGCCCCCATTTCACAGATGAGGAAAGTGAGGCTCAGAGAAGTTACACAACTATCCAAGAGCACAAACAAGCAGAGGAGCAGGTCTCGAACCCAGGTCTGCCTCAGACCAAAGTTCCTGTTCCTAACCACTATCTAAATTTCCCCAAATTCTCTAAATACAAGCTTAGCACCTAACCCTTAACAAGTCTACATACCTCAGTCACAAATTGGCACAGAAAAAAGCAGTTTGGAAAATAAATGTTCTCTGTACAAAAAGTCTTGGTACAGTTAGCCCTGTGTTCACTGCAGCACACATGTGCTGAGACTGGAGTCATGCCTATTCAAGATTTTCTTATCCGATGTCAGATTTCTAATCCATTTAAGCCCATTTGCAAAGTCATTCTATTTTTGTACTAATAGCTTAGAAACAGCTGGAACTATTTTAGTCAAAATTTTGAAATCTCAGATATGTATAAAAAGAAAAAAAAAGTGGTCCACTTCAATAATCCAGAGCCCTGCAACACTGAATTGCCTTTTACTAAAGAGAATTGGCATGAATCCCTTAAACCCTTCCAACTGCTTTAGGAAAAGAAAAAATACTGCACGTGAGTTCTGTAACCTGTACTGATGACAGTGATGATCTAGGAACATCTCCTCAGGGGTCAGAGATTCCTGTTATTACAGCTGGAAGACTAACGTATATTTCTTCCTTGGCTTCATTTCAATTTTTAGAAAAGGAAAAATTCCTATTCTCTCCTAAAGCAAGTATGCAAATTCCACTGTTTAAAAATGATTCGATGATGATTAAGTCTCCCCTTTGTAAGATCTTTTGAAGTCCACAGCAATCTCTTTTTTTTAATATGGGCAAAACTCTACTAATAAATACCTAAGGTTTTCTGAAAAGTGGTCTGTTCCTCCTCCCTTGGTGGTGGGAAATTTGCAGGTGTCTTCCCTGATTAAATGAGCTCCAACCCAACCGTTTTCAAACTAGAACAAGCACTAGCGTCAGCTGGAGGGCTCATTAAAACAGATTTCTGGGCCCCAACCTCAGGGTTTTAGGTTCAGTGGGTCTAGGGCGGAGCAAGAGCCCTAGGTTTTGTTTTCATTTCTCAAAGTTACCAGGTGCTGTTGCTGCTGCCCCTGGCCAGATGCCACACAGCAAATCACTGCTGTAGTTTGCTGCTTTCTATACTCGACTGCATGTTGGAATCACCTGAGAATAGTTTTAAATATGTTGATGCTCAAAGTCCCGCCCCCAGAGATTCTGAGCAATTGGTCTGGGGTGCTGCTCAAGCATCGATTTTTTTTAAGGTCCCGGAATGCGTCCATAATGCAGCAACCATTAAAAAAACCTCTGGCCCACCCAGCACTGCCCCAGACCCACAGCTCTGCGCGCTCAGCGCCACGTGTGGACGGTGGAGACCCTTCCAAGAAGCTAAAAGCAGAGGGTGGGGTTGAGCTCGGGGGAGTAAATCAACGCACGTTATAGTACTCAGAGGCCAAACACTCCAAGACAGGAACCTGCACCCAGAGAACTTCCCAAGATTCATTAACACTAAGCAACTTTGCAAGACAAACCCTGACATCTCAGTCTCCAGCCTGGGCGAGGACTTCACCAGGCAGTTCACCAACTGCTTTGGCGCAGGGAAAAGACTGCACCCCTAGGAAATCCAAAATGCCAAATTGCAGCCCCTGGGGGGCCAGCCCTGAGGCCCCCCGAGATGTCATTCTGGCAGCGAGAGGGGAGTTAGGAGGTGTCTCCTTACCTGGCACAGTGTCCAAGCTCGGGGTCGCCGTCGCAGCCAGCTGAGTGTTGCGCCAGGGGGGAGAGGGATGTTCCAGGCAGTGGCAAGCCCAACCCGAGGAAGACCTGAGCTGAAGCGGGTTGGCAGCCCTCCGCCCGGAGTCTGTTCTCCCTGCAGCGGCCAGCGCGGAGCGCAAAGGCTTGGAAACTCGCTCTCAGCCCCCTGGAGGCGGAGCCCGGGAGATAAGGTTCGCGCTCCCCACCCGCCCCCTTTCCTTGGCCGAAGACCAGAGGGTGGATTTTGGATCTGGATCTTGAAGGGCGAACTGCTAAGGTCGCCCTGGTGGAAACATGCTCAGTTCAAATCCTGCTAGCATCAGAAAATGCACGATTGAGGATTGAAAACGAGGGCGAAGGAGGAGGACCAGGGAAGCGCGAGGAGAGAGGCAGAATGAGGGACGGCCAGGAAAGCAGGAAAGGCTGCTCAGTTGAAAGGGCAAACACTAACGGAAGCAAAGACTTTTGTAAAACCAGAGCATCGCCTGCACTGATGGAAGGAGGCCTGCCGCCCTTGCCCAAAGAGAACTCCCCTCTGGGGCGCCAAGGTCCGTCACAGCGGACTGATGTTCCTTGCTTTTAAACAAAGGTAACAGCTGCTCCAAAACCTGAGGAAGTTCACTTTCAAATCGCCAGGTAAACAGCGACATTTGAGGGTCTAGCGATTGCAAGGGAAGCCTCGGAATAAGGTGACAGCCTTCTGACAAGATAAAGATGCTGTCTGCTCTGCCCCTTTGAGTCCGGTCTTCACAGAGCAGCCAGAATGTTAACATTCATATGCTTTCCCTATTACCTGTCACTCTTCCTTTTTCTCACCCTGCACCCCCCTTCTACCCCAACACATGCAAGACCTGTTTGCCCTTTCTTATACACACCAGTGTGTTCTCATCTCACTTGGTATTTCTTCTGCCTCGGAAACTCTGTCCCAGACCTTATCATAGTTGCCTGCTTCTGTTCATCAAGTTCTCCACTCAAATGAAACTTTGAGTGAGTCCTTCCTGTACATCCCATCCAAATGGAACCTCTCCCATCCATTCTCATGCCCAACCCTACTTTGCTATCTGAAGTTTTTTATGTTTGTTGCTTGTGTGTTTCCTATCCAAACCAAGGTATGGAGGGCAGGGAATTGGTCTTGTTCCCAGCTGTGTCCCCTGAGCCTAGAACAATACCTAGAATATACAAAGTGCTCAGTAAATACTGGCTAAATGAATGTGTGAATTAATTTCTCCCCGTGGGAATAGGTTCGCACAGAAATGCCCTCGTCAATAACTAAATTCACTTAAGTGAAGCCTGATACAAACATCTTCAAGTGACCATTTTCTGAATTTCTTTATTCATTCATATTAGATTCTACTGTTAAGAAAATATGACAGCAACAAATTGCCTTGAATTTGGTAATGTCTTCTTAGATATGACACCAAAAGCACAAGCAATTCAAGAAAAACTAAGTTAGAGTTCATCAAAATTTAAAATGTTATGCTTCAAACCACACTATCTAGAAAGTAAACGGCCCACAGACTAAGAAAATATTGCACACCATATTTACAATAAGAGTCTTGTGTCCCGATATATAAAAATCTTACCACTCAAGGGTAAAAAGACAATTTAAAAATGTACAAAGTATTTAGACATTTCTCCAAAGAAGATCTACTAATGGCCAATAAGAACATGAATGAATGCTAAACTTCATTAGCCATTAGGGAAATGAAAATTAAAACCACAAGCAGATACACTTTATACCACTAGGATGGCTAAAATAAGAAAGACAAACAATAAGTGTTAGGGAGGATGTGGAGAAATTGGAACACTCATATATTCCTAGTGCGCTTGTAAAAATGATTCAGCCACTTTGGAAAACAGCTTGACCATTCTCTAAAATGTTCAATGTAGAGTTAACATGTGACCTAGAAATTTCATACTTAAGGATACAGCTAACAGAATAAAAAACATATATCCACATCAACACTTGTATATGAATATTCATAGGAATATTATTCATAAAGCCACGGGTGGTAACAACCCAAATGTCTATCAGCAGATGAAAGGCTAAAAAAAGGGGTTTTATCCCTGCAATGGCTTATTACTCTGCCAAGAAAAGGAATGAAAAGCTATATGTGAAAGCATGGTTGAACCTGAGCATGTTAAAAGAAGCCAGTCACACACCACACACACACACACGAAACATTTATTGTATGATTCTGTTGATATAAAATGTTCAGAATAAGCAAATACATAGCTACTTGAAGTATGGAGTAAATCCATAGCTATAATACGTGAAGTGCTGGTAGAAGGAAGAAATGGGAGCGAGTGCTAATGGGAATGGGATGTACTTTGGGGTGATAAAAATGCTCTGGAATTAGTGCTGATGGTGCACAATTTTGAATATACTAAAACCTACTGAATTGTTGATTTTAGAATGGTCAGTTTTACAGTATGTAAATCTTATATCAGTTTTAAAACACTGATTTGTACCTTTTTTTTTTTTTTTTTTTTTTTTTTTTTTTGAGACAGAGTCTAGCTCTGTCACCAGGCTGGAGTGCAGAGGCACGATCTTGGCTCACTGCAACCTCCACCTCCCAGGTTCAAGCGATTCTCCTGCCTCAGCCTCCCAAGTAGATGGGACTACAGGCGTTCACTGCCATGCCAAGCTAATTTTTGTATTTTTTTTAGTAGAGATGGCGTTTCACCATGCTGGCCAGGATGGTCTCCATCTCTTGACCTCATGATCTTGTGATCCACCTGCCTCAGTCTCCTCTCCCAGAGTGCTGGGATCACAGGCATGAGCCACCATGCCTGGCCTGTACCCTTTAAGTGGATAAATTTTATAATACATGAATTGTATGTCAATAAAGATGTTATTAAAAATAAGAAATAAAATGCACTGGTTTTAACTGTACTGTAGAATATTCCTCTAAATTTTGTGATGGCTCTCTGGAGAACTATTCTAGTCCCAAGTGAATTAACAATTTTCTAGAACATGTCTGCACAATCATTGCTTGATTTCATCATCCCCATCCCCAAAATATGCCATGTGGCACATATACATACTTAAGGAAATAATCGTAGCATCCTTTAAGACAACTGCTTTCATTAAAAAGAAGGAGAAGAAGAAAAAAATAACCTAAACTTGGTAACTGTTGTGAAGACATTTTGCAGATGTAATCAAGGTTTTAAATGAATTAACATTAAGACAGAGAGGCTGTATGGATGGGCTTGATCTGATCACTTGAACCCTTTAAAGCAGAGAGGTTTCCTCACAAAAGAGGAAGTTAGAGAGACATGCTTTGGCTAGCCTAGGAGAAAGCAATCATCCATGTAATGAACTGCCTGCGGAGATCACATGGTAAGGAACAGTGGGCAGCCTCTAGGATCTGAGAGCCATCCCAGGCTGACAGCTTGAAAAACAACAGAGACTTCAGTTGTACAACCACAAGGAAATGAATTTTGTCAACAACCAGTAAGCCTAGAAGATGACCCTGAGCCTAGACAAGAACCTCAGCCCTAGCCAACACTTTGATTTCAGCCCACTGAGACTCTGAGCAGAAAATCCAGCATCACTATACTCAGATTTCTAACCCACAGAAACTGTGATATGAACCGTTTGTGATGTTTTAGGCTTCTAAATTTGTGGTTATTTGTTATGCAACAACAGAAAACTAATACAGTGACCATAAACCCAGATAGTCTAGCAGGTCCAAATTTCTTGAGCTATTCATTTAAGGAAAGATAGTATCTTTTTTATATCTGATTAATGTTGTTTAATTACTAAATACTTCTATGGCTTTAAATGTTTAAAAATACAAACTAGGAAGAAGAATATACTTGCCAAGTTAAACTTCCCAATGTTTATTTCAGTACATTATTGTACCCAAATTTACAATATTGTCTCTTCCTCCTCAATAAGAGATTTGTCATATACCCCCCAAAATTAGAACAGAAGGGATCAAAAAAGCCCTTTATTTCCCTTACAGTCTTCTGTCTCATCTCTGTCTCTTCCAAGTGCAGGCTATCAAGATAGAAGATGCTGTTACATAAAGATTGGCTGTAATTGACATATTGCTCTCTTAGAAATACCTCTGTCCTGATTCTTCAGTGCTTCTCAATTCTTTGCTCAAGGTAATAATTATTCCTCTTCTCCAAAAGAATAAGTCTAAATTACTAGCATATTATGGCATTTTAAGTCTCAAATTCTCAACTAAATTATATTTACTCAATCTACCACAGTGAACCTAAGCCCCACAGCTATAATTAAATAAAAGTCAGTACCACTAAGAGCAGGTGCCATATCTACACTGTTTCTCATTATATACCCATGGAAACAGTAAACAAATATTTATCGAATGAATACCTAACGTTACAAGTCCAAGGGAGAATAATGTCATGTATATAATACTGAATAAATTGATGTTATTTATTCCAGGCACCAGGCTAGACTTTGGGGATGTAGCTATAAACAAAAGCTCATTTTTCATAAAGCTCCCTTGGTTGGATGTATACAGGTGTGTGTGTGAAAAAATGGGAGATATGTGAGAATACTGAAGTGATTTGGCATGGTTTTCTAAAAACTATAAATAGGACTAGCCCCTGCCCTCCCTCATAAAATTTCTAGTCTAGTGAATGAAATTTAACCCTGGGCATAAATAGCTAACTCAAAAATAGTGGCCTTCACAAAGACAAGCAGTTCTCAAATGCTCTCTCTGGGTTTGCAGGAAGAATTATCCCAAGAAAATCTGATAATGTCTTCACTTTTTCCTCTAGCAATCCTATGTAAGTGTAAAACTTAAGGCGATATGTGAAGGCAATGAGAAGTAACAGAAGGCTCTACCATCTTATTTCCTTCTGTAGTTCTCACTGTGCTACTTTTGATCACACTAACTTCCTCAGTAGACAGAGAATCTGGCTTTTCCAACAATCCAGGACTCCACAGTATCAAGCTTTAAGCCATCTTGTTTTGCAGGTTGCAGAATATCTCTAGAAAAGCCTTCTTTCTTCTTTCCTTGCAGGGTGCGCTTCAGCTTAAATATATCAATTTCTTCTAGGAACTTACTGAAGATGACAAGATGTAACCAAGAAACTTCAATACCTTCATATTTTGCTTTTGCATCTCTGAAAGATTCAAGTGGTCTGAGTTCCCAGTGACTACAAGCTACAGTTTAACAG